TCAGATAATTTGGGATCACAGCAGCTTATATGATGATTGATTTCATTTGATTGTCATTAAAGTCTGAAGGCACTACTTTATAATCAAGTTTTAATCCCATCCGATGCTTGGCCCCTTAAACCCATGCGTCTCACGACTCTGAACAATGACTTACCAGAATACTTTTCCTAATACTAAATTGCAGTAAGACTAAACGCCTGAATCTAATAGATTAACTTCATGCTCATTATTTAATCCTCGGTCCAAACTCTATTCCTCATTGTTCAACGACGATGATCGCCGTGTAATCGGTTTATTGAGTGATTCGTCGGCTTCAAATTGAAAATGTCGAGAGACTTCCACCCAAGGCGGAGGCGATCAGCAATAGTTTTTATTTTTATCTAAAGAACTTACTGTATAAGCACTGCTTATGACAGTTTTATTTTTTATCGAACTCTCATTTCCTTAAGTTACTCCAGTAAATCTGCATTGACGTTATGTGCTAGTAATACCCTTATATGTTGTTTTTCATATTTCTCTTTATCATTGAATTTATGGGTAACATATCTGTCTGTGCATCAGTGAGATTTTCTTTTTAAGTATTTGACAAGTTATTATTGACCATACCTTTCTGTAAATTCGATCTTATCCTGCTTCTTTGTTTATTATAGAGTTGTTACTTAACGTCCTGCCAACTTCCTTAGTTTGTTTTCAATTTAGTAGTTGTTTATGCATTAGTTATGTTTTTTGATGTTGACAAGGTTAATTACCATTTTTATTGTTGCGTGAAAGATGTGTGGAAATGAAATTATGTGTGGAAATAACTATTTATGTTATCCCAAGAACTACAATAAATAATAGCACTTACCCCAATCCCCAAGTATCTACGACTAATGGATTTACTATTGCGTAGTATTTGTGCGAGAAAAAATGCCAATAGCATTGCGTTAAATAAAAAGTATTTTTTCAAGTATTTGCTTAAAAATGTCAAAACAGACAAGTTTTTATTTAAAGAGACTCCGTAATTGCACTTAGGACCTTCTAATAACGAGGAAACTCTGTTAATTTGGATCAAAGATATTTCAAATTTGACCTTTATTTTCAATGCAATAGATCATTTTATAGATAAAATTAGAATATCAGTTTGAATTTTGAAATCACTTTTTTAAAATCTTAGACGTAACAGAAACTATTTCGATTTCTTTACATTATAGAAAACGTTGGTAAATTTATAAAATCCTTAGTCTAAAAAAATCTGTCTCGTCATATATGATTGTTCAGATAATAACGAGTTTGTTTCAAGGGAGACGTACATTAAAGCAAATAGTATTAAAATTGAATATCAGAATTTTATTAGCAATGAATATTTATAGACGTACTGTTTTTTTTAAAATTGTAATTTGTTATTTAAAGTACCATAATTAATTAAAACCAGTCTCTAACGAATTATATATTTATCTTATTAAGCTTTGTATTTTTAATATTTATTGGTTACATCAAGAGCCGGTTTTGCTAGATTGCCTACTGATAAGGTCAAGTTCTGATTCGTTACGTGATTTAAATTCAATTTTAGATTATTTTAGATATTTAGCACCAATAAAATAAAATGATCAAGACCATCGCTTTCAATAGTTTTTGAATAAGCATTATTATTCTATTTCTATGTTTTTATTATTTTACTTAAAATGCAAATTACATCTGGACATTCGGAGTTCTTGCACCATGCGACGCGTGTTCCTTTTACTTGCGTACCAGCAAGATCTGGAACGAACTTCCCTTAGCGGTTTTCTCTCGTAGTTATCAAATGACGGTCTTCAAAAAGTTGATAAACCTTTACCTTCACAGCTGGCAACGCATGAGTGGTACTCTTGGCGTTACAAGTGTCCAAGAGCGGGTAATCATTTACCATCAGGTGGACTGGCAGCTCGTTTACTTGCATAAACATAAATACTATTATATATCTTCTTCAGTCCATAGCCATCCAATGCTGAATGTAGGCCTGCAACGCATGCCATCTGGCTCGGCCTTGTACTATTCTTATCCAGTGTTATTCCGCTATTTTCATTATATCGCCTTTCCATCGTATCGGTGGTCTGCCTACGGTCCTGTGACCAGTTCTAAGTCTGCAGTCCAGTATGATCTTTCCCCGATTGAATAATCCGTACTTCTGTACTTTAATGTTATTTAAATGCGATAATGTGTCTGTCTACTTTACTTACTTCTTCACGCTTAATTCACTGAACCGAGTTAAACGAAATTTAGCATAGAGATAGTTTGAGTCCCGGGATAGGACATAGGATAGTTTTTATCCTAACACCCTTGAAATGAATGCATAATACAAATTTTCAACGCAGCTGATGTCGCGGGCAGCCACTAGTTGTAAAAAATATGCTAATATGCCACAATTTCTATAGGTTATATGGCATTTTATTGTTAACCAAACATACCGCCGATCGTTTTGTGTGATAATGCTCAGACCAGACGCGGAAACGATGGACACATGAATAATACGCCGCCATTTATTTAAATTAAATACGTCTAATTTGACAAATGAGGTACTATTTCAATCTGCAAGCGGCATAATTAGGGATTGCAATCCCGCAAAACGGGACATTCCCGCGGGATCCCGCTGCTTTTATTAATCTGCTGGATCCCGCACCTTCAAAGCGCGGATCCGCGGATCCCGCAAATTAAAACTTTCGCGTAAATTGCGAGTAGTATGAGCGCAACGTTGCCGTTCAGAGGAGAGTATCTGACGCTCGCCTGTAAATATATTTAAAGAGCGTTTTCGGCATCGGGATTTATATGCAGTTCATTCAGAAATACACTCGGATATGATATACATACACAATAAATGCCATTTGCTTCTTAAGAGCGTATTTTCAAAAGTTATCACCATAGCTTGATATCATAGTAAAAACATCTAAGAGAAAGTTGTGATTTGATTATAAGTCACTATATGAATATTATTACTAAAAGTTGATTTTTACAAAAAAAATCTATAGTTTTTTTTGATTTTACATTATAATTTCAAAGATGCGGAATCCCGCATTTCAATCCCGCGAGATTGAATGAGCTGCGGGATTGCAATCCCTAGGCATAATGAGTGGATGTTCACGCCCCAAGGCTTGTATTAATCATTTCATTTAGATGTTCCGTGTACTCGTAAGCTGGGTTCTTTTCCTGCTCGCGGTCAACATTTTATTTTATACTAGCTGTGCTCGCGACTTCGTTCGCGTGGATGTCGGGAAAAGATAATAGTGAGTGAACCTTAAAGGATAGATATAATATGCTGCCGCGACCTTTGTTTAGAGCTTCTAAAGAGTAACAATTCCATCATACATGAGTTTTGCGTAACTTTAACCGTTTACGCAGCGGATGCAACGAAAGCTCTGATAAGGATTTTTTTCCGTTTTTGCACCATTTTTCATTCATTCTCCACCCATATTGGCTGAATTGTATAGCCTATAACCTTCCTTGATAAATGGAATATCCAACAAAAATATTTTTTCAATTTGAATCAGTAATTCCTGTGATTATTAAAAATTCAACCAAATAAACAAACAGTCAAACAAACTCTTCAGCTTTATAATATTAGTATAGATGCATTAAAATAATGTTTAAAAAGTGAGATCGTTACATCTTAACTCAAACAATAATGCTAGCTAGCGCAGGAATGAACAATCGCTCCCAATAAGCCTCTTCTGAAGCCAGTAAGGATATTAAATTATCTTTGTTTGACTGATATTTTTTTCTAACAACATTTCAACCGCAATGAATTATAACAGTAGGTGATCAAAATACAAAATGTCACGATTAATATAGATCGTGTGAAGGCGCGATAGGCCAACAAGGATATGATTTATTACAGTGTCCCTCGCTTATCCATTAATCCCGGCTTTATCCAATCTAATATGTTTCCACCTGACGGTTGTTGATCCATCAACTCGGTTTGCAATAATGGGTGCAACTGTTCTCAACACGGTGACGCCATTTTAATTCAAATTAAACCTTTATTTTATATTATATACGGGATTGTTACCGTGTACCTTGTTTTTAGCGAGTTTCCGATATTTCGGCACTGTTGCAAGCGCCATGATCACGGAGTAACTCCGTGTATAATCCCGTAAATAACTTAAATTACTATAATGTTAGTGACCATTAAAGTTTAAAACAATATATTTATTTTAAAAATTTACAAAATTTATGAAGGTTTCGATTTCGACAGCATTCGATTATGAGTTCTATTCATATTAATTCTCACAAGAGAAATTAATTATTTTAAAGTTTTAAACGTAAAAGAAAAGTACAAGTTTAAAGAAAATATTACTCGATAAAATTCCACGCAGACCAGGCAGCAGCAGCAGGGTTACCTACAATGCGAAGAGATGGCGCTGCCTTGCAGCTTAAGAAAGGCTAGAAAGAATTCGACATGGCCATCAGGGCCGCGGTAGCATAATGGTCAGTGCATTCCCCCGGATAGCGAAGGGTGCGGGTTCGAGTCCCGTCTGCTAGCCGCGTGGATTTTTTTCTAGTAATATTTTCTTTAAATTAAACATCGAGCTGTCATTTTCTTTAAATTAAACATCGAGCTGTCACATGCTTAAAAAAATATATAAGTACAAGTTTGTTATATAGACAAGTAAGATCACTGAGACAAGATTCAAGTTTTTAGTGAACAAAAAAGTGCCAGTATTATATCGGTACATTTTTCTCAAATATAAGAAAAACAGACTGTGTTTTGTTAACATCATCCCTATCTAGGATTATTACAATATGCCATTTCGTTTCACCCCGGGCTTTATAAGAAAATACAATAGAGAAGAGGTCGACTTCGTTAGCAGAAAACAACCAATAAAGCCGACAATCTCAGTTATTTATGTTTATGTTATCATATCATTCATAGTTGTACCAGTTAGCTTTCCTATTTTGCGAGTTTATGAACTGAATATCTTGAATACTTGTACCATTCCCCTAGTTTTCTTTTTATATGTCCGTTAAAGAATGATTTATTGTTTCAGATGCCTACGCTGCAGACTGGTGGGGTTGGAGCAGCTCTATGCTGAGGAAAAGTTTTAATATCGAGTTCAGTGGAATTTGAAATTCAGAAGCACTACAGTCTGCTGTTTTGTGTGTTCGATATTCGAAATGCTCGATCGCGATTGGTCCGTGTGCGCGACGCGATTGTGATAAGTGATGTGCAGTGTCGATAGTGGATATCGATAGTCAGGATGGCGACGATGGATCTCACAAACGAAGTGGTCCGGTTACGGGCTGAACTGGAGAAAGTCTCGCAGGAGCGCGACATGTTGCTATGTGAAGTCTCCAATTTACGTCGGGAATTGGAGCTGAGCGAGTTGAAGCATTTACAGGATGACAGGTAAGGGTAAATTTGAATACGCTTAATTCCACTCAAAGTGATGCAGACATATTTTCCACGTGTCCCGACGCGAATGTTAGGTATGTAACAAGCGTTTCGAGGCAAACAAAGGGTGCCTCCGTCTTGTGGGTCCTTTGAAAGGCTCGACAGTTCGTCGGGGACCTCTCACTCCACTACATGGATGGTTTAAGTTGTAATGGAACAGCGTTAATTATACTTTAACTAAATTATTTTAAGCTGAATAATTAAATTTCAACGGCAAAGTGTTTTACAGAAACATCGTGGTGTTAAACTAAATTAGTGTTATGAACCGGGTAACTTCACTACTTTAATATCATTAGCACTAATTCAAAATAGCCCGAATCATTTGGGGCTTTCCTGTATTCCATCGGAAACTTCGTCATAATTATAATTAGCAGTGAAAAGTTTCAACTTGATTGAATTTCATATATTAAATATTTATTTATAGCAAAATTCCATACAATATATGTACCTAGTTATTCATCATGTCCAATAATATCCGGATATTATTAAAACAGATTTAGAGGTTTCTTGATATTTCCACATGTGATGTGTGTGATGTGATAAATATATTTATTTACATTTGTAAAATATCTTATATTTTTCGTTAGTGAGTTTTTTTTAAACGGATAATGAAGATAGGTTTATATTGATATGTCATGTCTAGAAATCGATATTCCATTGGCGTGTGTCAATAAACATAGCTTGTACGCATGAAACATATATGGTGTGATAATTCTATTTAATATCCTTTACGGAGTTGGCACACCATCAGAAGGTATATGATAGGTATTAAACACCAGCAAATATCATTCCAATATCAGCCACCGCACCACATAGATCCGGCTCGCAGGACCAAAAATGTAGGGTGCTTCCCTATTTCCTACATTTAATGCTATAAAGTGCTACGCTGAACGATATGCTATGAAATAATAAAACAATCGCATTGATTGAATGCGTTTGATGCACTGCTTAATTTAATTGACACAAGGTTGCGGATAAAATGCTGACCTTACAATTTCACAATGCTTATGATTATTAAAACATAAATTATGTGCTGTCTCGTACATCGACCATTGATTGACGTCAACCTTCATAAAAAAATGTGGCGAGTTCCTGTAGTTTCCTTAAGCATCCTCTTTCTCGATTGAATTCACTTCAGTGAGGGAATATGAATTTTCATTGCTTCCATTTATCTATTTCGGTTAGGTTTTGTTCACGAATGAGTGACTAGGGTGACTGACGAAAATAATTTCAGCCACTATTTAGTTTGGTCCAAAGTTTATGTCTAATTTTCTAAGTACGTCCATCAAAGTAAGATAGATAAACTGAAACTCCAAAATTAGTTGGTGGTTAAACAATCCCAGCGTCGGTCGCTAAGATTTTTGCTCAATTTGGGGTTTTTAAACAAACCAAACAGTTAATGGCTTTATCAAAATATTTGACTTGCGGTTTTTACATTTCAAAGCTTAGGGGCGATCGCTGTAGACTTGGTGTTGTCAGACCAACTTTGAGGAACCAATAGTTTGATCACTGTTTCAAAACGATTATCTTTTAGGAGATGAGGCAGCTTCGTTATTAAATTTTCGATATGTTACCTATATCATCCATCATCGGCCTATAATTTTCCCCAAGGTTTAGTGACAAAGACTCGCTATAAATAGAAGCACAGGGCGTACAACAGTGAACTGTAAATTGATAACAGCTAAATGCACCTGGGACAGACTTAAAATGTCTTTCGATAATGAATTTACGGTCACCCATCTCTGAATGGCCGGACTCTGGTCCTGCAATTGCTGCACCTCCATCAATGAATTCTGATCTTGTTTTCTACTGCGCCATCGATAAATAAGATAGAAGGTTGATATAAAGATTGAGAGAGCTAGCTCATTAATGGGCCAGGGTCTAAAATCGAAAAAAGACAACTTTTTTTTACAACTTCTGTATTTACACTTCTTTCACAAAAATTTCTTCGAAAACCAAAATAACTGACATTTTAGTGAATGCATCTTTTAGCGTTTATAAGGGTGCGCGGCCTCGCGCAGTGGACAGTTGGGTTTCAGTTGTACAGTTGTATTGTGTGTAGTGTAGTATTGTGTGTGTTTAATAAGAATTTTCAAGCGTGAACGAGCGTAATAATTTCGAACCTCATCTATATACAGCGGTGGTCGCTTACCATCAAGCGGTCCATATGCTTATATCCACCCTTTTTACGAAAGTTTATGATTATGCTTCCAGTTAGATGTTATTCATATGTTTTGTGTTTCAAATCGCTGGCGTTCCATCTCTTGATCCGTATGCACGCGCTCCTATTGTTAGGCCGAGTTTCCGTCGCCGCTGACGTCAGAAGGTCCTTCCTATCTTGAATAGGCCCTTTTATACGTCACATGGAAAATATGAAAACTTGAAAATCCGAAGTGGCAACGCGAGAAACTGTACTAAGCAGTACTAGATACACATTAATGATGTGATTTCTGAATTGCCAATGCTAAGTTAGAAAAAAATTAATTAGATGTCTCTTTTGGATACTGAGATGTCAATTTTGACTCGCATCGTCGCGTCGTTGTCAAATAAGGAGATTGTGTACGTCACTTGGAACACTTACCTATTTTATTATTGAGATAGAAAATATTACATTTGACATTTTGTACTTGTAATAGTAAAGAATAAAGATGACAATGATATGGTTTCTTTTTCCGTCTAGTTTATATAAGATATTAAAGAATTGTGAATCATCTGCATATTTGGCATACGTGACTTATCCAACTTGTAAAGTTAGGTTTGTTTTGTATCTGGGTAATTCCATTTCGCACGCGAACTTTTCCAGTGTTTTGAAGGTGTTAATATCTATTCAATTTATAGCTTAAATTAATAAAAAGATGCCAAACTATCAGAATTTGATAAAGAGCAATACTCAAAAACACTATTTATCGTTTTTCTAAAGCATAAACTAACTTCATAATATATTGTCTTGCTGGTGTCTTTACATGCTGAATTTGCAACACTGAAAACTTTTAAAACAATTTGAAATTGAAAGTAAATGAGAAACTGATGCATCGCAAGATCTTTCAACTGTTATTGTGTTACCAACATATAACATTATCACTCTGTATACCTATTTCTTCCCATTTCCGTGAACAAACAATTTCAGTTCAGTGTATCATTTCAATTGCATGGCACTTGACGTCCAGACCGTTTTAGGTTACAGGTTGCGGCACGTAACTCTAGCGCTGAACACAACGCGGAGGGGATAGCTGATCATGGGTACGTCTGGAGAGCCAATCGGTGTAACGCATACCCACCCGCGCACCTCGTTTCCCCCCAAGACATCTTAATTTTTACTTCTGCGCAATAACGGTCAGCGCTAGAGTTTCGTGCCGTGACTTATACGTGTAAGCAATATCTAATATACCTATAAAATCAAATGCTTAAGTGTTTTCCATGACTTGTTACGAAGAATACTGTAAACAGCTAGGCGTTTGAGGATTGGTAAATATTTGTGTTCTGTCTGAGAGTGATGTCAATACAAAAATAATAATAAAATAATGCTTGGGTTTCGCAATACGAAGAATTACAAATTGTATTTAATACAAATATAAAGCTTAACATAACACCTTGTTCAAATATAAATTTGAACAAAAAAATTGATCTTTAGTAACATTTTAACTCCGATGCACTGAAAAACTTAAATTAATGTTCAAGTTTGTTTTAAGATTTTGGACAAATATTGACAATACGTATTTAATATTTTATCATATTTTTATTTTAAGAATTTCACTACTAGATGTTAAATCTAATATGTTGTAAATGACATCCCTGAGTTTATGACACTAACTCAAATCAAACGACCTCCTCTTAATTGCAAACGAAGCGCAAACATATCAAAACGTAACCACATAATTTCACAACCATACGTATAAACGGTAAACCATTAAATATACCAAGACCATTACAATAACTGTTTGTAAACAAGATTTCTCTTTGTAACAGCGCTAATGGCACTCTTACCTTCTATGCAAATCATTATACCACGTTTATGCGAATTATATCTGCAGTTGAAATAAAAGTAAGCACGTGTGTGTATGAGTTTTAGAAAGTGTCTTACTGATTGCTTGAGTGATTAGTTTTTTTGCTTGTTTTATTCATAAATATGACGATAAATGCATAAAATTTTCACTTGAAACGATGAATTTCAAAGCACTGTTTACAGATGTGTAAACCAATTTGGAAAACTATTTAAGTTAATCCCAAACCAATCTTTTTTGTATTGTCTTCATGAAACGGCAAATTTAGATGTAACCGTAGCGTTTTTTGGGTCACGATAAATAACAAGATGAGAATGCTCTAAATACTATCTCTGATTTACTTCGAATAAAACATGATACTTGTTATCATACATAGAATAAAAAATAATGCACTGGAACTTAAAACTTACGCTTGGTACCCGTAAACGAACCGCAACTTTTTATGACATTTCGTAACGCGCTAAAGTTTTGACAGCTCGTTGAGATGTAAATTTCAGTCAAAATCATAAAGCAGGTTTCAGTTGACAGGTGAAAATTAGCGCGATATTGATTTCGTATAAAGTTGAGTTGCAATTAGAAGAACTTTGGTAGATCGTTCAAAATAAGAAATAGCGCGATTGGCCTGATGTAAGTCCGAATTTCGTCCGAAAAATCACAAGGGATTGATAGCAAACTTTGCTATACAATGGAAGTCCCCACAAATTTGTTACTTACTTATATGTTTTGTAATAAAGTCCTAAAACTTTTCGTTAAGATGAGCTTACATTAAGAATATACATAGTTTAATGGTAGACGCCATGTATTATAATCCTTACGTAGGTACGAAATTGTTTATTGAATAGAAAACATCATTATTCGTGAGGAGTACCATCCGTCTTCGATTGTTATTTTCCTTGTTTTCATAAAACGCCTGGCAAGCGAAAAGTGACGTTCCAAATTCCCCTTCGGCCGTCT